AAAGAGTGTGACCGACCGGGCTCTGGGAGTAAGCAGACAGCGTGTTGAGGTTGGAGGTGGTGAGAGGGAAGCAAAACCCACATTAGAAATAGCTTTTCCTGTGATGTTAAGGAGACCATGGGGACCACAAACAGTGGGAGGTGTGGTGGCATTACCAGATTTGGTAGCAGTGTGGGCACCAAGGGGCACGAATCTGGAGGCAGGGAGGACTGCTGGGAGGCTGCTACAGCAGTTCAGGCCAGAGCCGTTCCAGCCTCTGGTGAAGATGCTGGTGGTGGGGACAAAGAAGAGCAGATAGACTTGGAGTGATTAGGAAGATTAAAGAGTAGAACCTGGGTTGTCTAAGCAGGCGGAGGTGCGGCCCACGGCTTTGTCAATAGCAACGTAATGCACAGTCATAACTGCACACAATTGTAACGTCTACTGCCCTTCTCTCCTCAATCGAGAGTAAGAGTGAACAGCAGAAGGAGAAATAAGACACTAGAACCTGCATGTCCAGGGTTTACTTAGCTTTAAAGCAAAAGCAACTAGGAACCCACATAAATATTCATTTTTGTGGGGGATTTTTTTGCATAAAAGGGCACAGGAAGATTAACTTATTCATTCATTCATTCATTCATTCATTTAGCCAGAGAGTATGTGCACTCACCCGAGAGACAGAAAGAGAGAGGGAAAATGAGAAAGCGCCTGCCCAGGGCACTGTCATGCTGCAGCCCCTATTCTTCTCTCTCTCTCTCTGTTTGAGATTTTGGCCCCCAAACATGCACCTAGCATGGTTTTCAAGTCTCTGGGTTTGGATTCAAATTGTGCAGTTTGCTGTGTGGGACCCTGCTGCCTTAACCACCAAGCCATAAGCTGTCCCAGGAAGTTTTGTTTTTTTTTCTTTTTCCTTAAGAGCAGAGCATATGTGCTCATCAGAGAGAGACAAAGTGAAAGAAAGGGAGAAGGAGAAGACACCCCTCACTCCAACCGGGCATAGGCACACCACCGTCCCTTCTCCATTTCTCCATGCTCTCATGCCTGGCGTGTTTAAGCCACCAAAGCCTGGACTTGAACCACAGTTGGCCACGTGGGATTCTGCCCTCTTACCCACAGCCACGGAACCAGCCCCAGGAAGTATTTTTTTAAAGCCTGTTTCCCGCTGTGCAGCGTGGACTGCTGCCTCCTGCTTAGTGAGAGCAGCTGCTGCATTTTCCCATGACTCTGCTCTTGGAGTGGCAGAGTAGTGCCCACTTCCAATTCTGCCAAGGTCACGCTCCCAGCAAAGCTACACTAGAAAAGTGCTTGTTTCCAGAACAGAGCTGCGTTCCCAGGATCCTGAGGGTACAACCCAGAAATACTATACTCACAAATGTCATGTTTATAACATAAAATGCAGGGTGACATTTCAAAGCCGCTAGGAATATGCACAAACTCAAACTGCCAAAGGCGATGTGGGGGCTAACACAATCTGCAGAATAATGCGATTCCAGAGGCCGCTTACTTTTCCAGCAATGAGAGCGTGTCTTCGTATTTTTGCATTGTTCGTTTTCCTTCAGCAGATTCCATGCAACTACCCGTGTGAAAGAGGGGAAAAATGATACAGAAACAAAAAGTCAAAATAATGATCTGAGGAACAAACTAAGCCTATAAAGGAGAGAGATTGAATAGCTTCTTGGGCTGGTTTCCAAATGCCCCTAATTGAGCTTGGGTTCTTCTCCCTGAACATCCTCTTCTGGCCACTAGAGGGCAGCTGCGTTTCCTAAAATGCAGGCCGCCCCACTGGTGACCAGGATGTCATAACCTTTCCAGCCCCCAACCCCCTCCACTATGATAGCTTGGCCAATCATGCACATGGTAAATCAGATCCTTCAACAGTCTAAATAAAAGGAAAACTGACATACTAAAGAAAAACGTTAGGTGCTGTAGTTTTATATAGTAAGAAAAAACTACCAAAGTTATAACATAATATAAAAGTAAGTGTGTGTGTGTGTGTGTGTGTGTGTGTGTGTGTGCATGTATACAGAACAATATTTCTCCTCTGAAATCTATCTGGGACATGTGATCAGAAATGCTATCACTCCTTGGCATGTTCGCTTGAGGGTCCTGTCCACTTCTCATCCCTCAAACATGTACACATACAATGTGCAAATACACACGTGGGCATGCACACTGACACACACGTGCACACACACATCCTGAGGACCACAGAGGAGAGAGAACAAAGTCTGGCCTGAAGCAACTGTCTCCCCTGGTTTTGACACTAGCTACATCACTAAATGGAAGTCCAGCTCCTGGGAAAAATGGGTGAAATATCTTTAATTTTCAGAAGCCTTCACACTAACCATGTGGAGGTCTGTTTTTATTTGCTCTGCTAGCAAAATGAGGCAGCTTATTGCTAAGATTCTTTAAAATCCATTTGCTCTTTAAATCAACACAGGGTTCTTCGCAAGATCCCTCGAGCGTCCCACATAAGCCCTCACGCCTGCAGAGAAAGTGCCGGATTTGCTGGCATTTTTTTTTCTGGTCACTTAATTCCCTTTTGTGGTGAATGAGCAGATGAATCTGCAAGGCGGCAAGAAGTGGGAAGTGCTTCAGACCAGGTGGGCGGCTCACACCTCGCTCTCCCCGCACAAGTTGTGGGATTTCCACAAGCCTCCCAATCCCTGGAACCTCAGTTACCCCCAGAATCTCAGTTTTGTATCTGGAAAAGAATGAGGTCAGGGGAGAGTGAGGCTTCTTAGGTGGGGCACGTGGCAGTCACCTAGTGGGTTTGAGAAGTCACAGGAATAAGTACAGTGAAACTCCCTGTGGCCTCCATTCCACTCCATGGTGAGGGATCTTGAACATGTATATAACCAGTAAGTATATATTATAGAGGACAATATGAGTTCCAATTCATTTTTAGGACAAATGGGGACTACAGAGTTACTTACTGTGCGGTACCATCTGGACTCCCTCTTGGGCCAGACACTCTTACTGCCCACCCCCCACCCCCCAGCCTTCTCCAACCCAACACCCTCCAGCCCAGAGTGGGGGCTGCTAAAACAACACAGTTGCCCCTCTTTGGGAATGGCCACAGCCAAATAGAGCCACTTCACCCAAGGTCATGACCCTCCCTGGGAAAGCCCATCTCCAATGACTGTGGATGTGGAAGACTCAAAGGATGGTCAGCTCCGAAGGTCAGAGATCCCTGCAAGATTGGCCAAGATCTCCATTGCAACTATGCCACAACTCAGCTTCCCCCTTGCCCAGTCTCCTCCCCTCACTCGCTCACGGGGGG